CACGGTGAACTGTGGTCCTAATAAACAAGGCGCAAGGCATGGGAATATTTCCAAAAGAAAAATTGCTTGGGAAGTTTGGAGTTGCATGCAAAAAAAAAAGAATTGCACAAAGGAAATGAGCCCGATTTTGACGAAAAACGTGACATTTGTCATGAAATCCGCGAGCCTAAATGATTAAGAATATCACTTTATTGGTTATTTTCTGAAAGTATAGCATCTTAGCTTCGGGCTGCTGCAAGACCTAAGAGATATTGTGAAAACTATGCTTATGATGACGAAAGATGCAAAAAGTCCGTTTTGGGGTGGCAGTTTTACCACTGACATGCAGCGGGAAGTAAACTCTCACAGGCTTCGTTCCCCCAAGGAATCGATATGAATTTTTGGTGTGACAGTGTATTTGGTGTTACCTTAAACATCTCCAGTCCATCGTAACACTTACTGCTGTGCAAAGTAACACCTGCAGTGTTAAAGTACCACCCTATGGTGTGGTCATCTGCTAACACCAACAAGTGTTGATTTTAACACCACAGTTTTTGCAGTGGGACGGGGGGGTTCGTGGTCCCCAGCGGAGGCACGTGTTCCCGATGGCCTAATTGAAATCTCTGTTGAGTTTTTATAGGTATGCAGCTGCAACTTATTATCTTGTGGTTCCCCCTTGAAAAAAATGTGTGCACGCGGGTGCCCCCACCGGAAATTTACCCCTAGTTACGCCAGTTGGAACGACTGAGAAGGTTGTCACCAGAACACCACGTAACTGTTGCCAAATATTGCAAAAAGATGCATTTTGTTTTGGTGTTCAAACTGCAAACCTGATGGTATCAGAAATTTGAAAGTTGACAAGCCATGACCTTGAAGCTGCAACTTTGTCGTTCTGACCTTTTTACTGTTATTTGAGGAAACGACTTCGTTTTCCGCTCAGATGTTGACAAAAGCAATAAAGAGTGTTATAAATGGGCTTGTTTGTCACTGCAGGAAGTTTTGGCCAGTGCCGCCGGTTATGATGAAAAAAAAAGGAATGAGATTCTGGGCAACAGGCCTTGAACAGGTTTTCTTCATAGTACACATCAACTCAAACTGGGATAAAGGTGGAGAGCGGGCAAGAGAGGACGTGACAATGCCTAAGTGAAGCGGATGGCGGAAAATCCATTTGAGTTTGACTGTAAAGTGATGCCAAACAGCCTCGTTATCGCAGAGCACCTCTAAATGTAAACTAAACAGCAGATGGAGATTATAAGTTGCCACAACCGCCAAGGGCCAGTATACTTTCAGGCGCGGATGGGGGGGGGGTATTCCTGCTCTGAGACAAAACAGCTACAAATGGGGAAAATACTTTAAAAATAACATTTAAAAGGAAGGTAGCATCCTACAGATTCTTCTTAAGTGTACAAAGTGAGTGTTACAAATAGGAGACTATAGAGTCCGCAAAAATGAGACATTAAATTAATCTGCGGGCCGACCCCTCCCCCCAGAAAAATTCCTCTATCCGCCCTTGACATCTTTGGATGAGAACCCCTCATCATCGATGTCTGATCTTGAAGAAGCCAGAAGTTGCTCATTTTACTCATACAAATATTCTCGGTCGATCATCGATAGTTTAGACTACCATAGTCCATTCGAGCCCGTGTAATATTTTGTAGCGATTTTTTTCTTCTGCCTTTCTTCTTACACCTTCATCAATGGCGTAAGAGCGCTTCTGTTACCTCACTTGGGTTGATTTCTTATCCCAATTTATGTGTTTTCTTAAATTGCAAAGACTGAGTTGTGCTGAAGGACTCCGACGTTTTACAAAAATCCAATGAGAGCACGGATGTAGTACCCATACACTCTAATATGGCCAGCCATGGAATCCGTGCAAGGAAGGGGTATTAACAATCACCTATATTTTGTTACAGGTGCCATTTTTCACAAGTGCCCCCTTTTCAGGAGTGCTCTTTGCTGCTGTCGCACGGCGAACCGATGCTGTCTGTTTTAAAAAGTGGCACCGCGGCAGAAGGATGATTACAGTTGAGCCCACTTCCCATTTTTCGTTTTACAGGGGATGGGTGATGGGTGAAATACTTTTCCTTAATACGGATTCTGAGTGCCATTTGTTGGCCTTTACTAAGCCATGCAGTGGTAGTAATTGATATTGACGGATGTAGAACCCATTGCCTAAAATGGGAGAATTCTTCTTTTTTTGGGGGGGGGCAAAAATTTGGAAAGTTTTTCATGCAACCTTTTATGGCCTCACTTTGAGGTGAGGCCACATTTAAGCGCTTTTCATACGCTTTTTGAAAGAAGGGAAATGGCAGTTCACAAATGCAATGTTTTGCCCATTTGGGGGGGGGGGCAGTGGTGCAACTAAGGAGGGACAAGGCACGACCCCCCGCTCGAGGCCTCTGCCCCCGCTCAGAAACTAGAGAGAAAGAAAAAAAAGACCGTCATTGCCCTCACCCTTTCTGGATAACGGAGTTGCACTCTGATTCCGAGGAAGCACTGACCTTCCAAATGAGATAAATCGGGAAAGTACGCTGAAGTTATCTGATTTGATTTGGGTGAAATCAAATCATTTCAGAGACCAACCTTGACGAAATACCACCTGTTAATGATGTCTATTCTGCAAGTGCGACGTAAGCTTCTAGGAACCGGTGATCTTCCTATCTGGCATATTGTTGTTCTCATAGAGAGTGCAGGCAGCACGCTAGTGGCGTGACCAGCAAACGTAGCTCGGGTACGTTATATAAAGCTGCAAGGACTATCCTTCAGCGTAGTGCTGACTGACAGTCGGGTCACTGGTCCTGCTCTCAGATCTTTTGTTATCGGTGCGCACGAAACATCTGAAAACGTCAATAACTCGTGTTGGTAAGTATCATAAACATGGAAGTCAGTGTAGCTGTATTATCGTCATAAAATTAACAATGTGACTTTTTGCTGTTGTTTTTGTGGTGACTTTGGAGGAAACACTTTCTGCCTGTTAGGTTGTTAATTTCTGCCTGTCATGCATGTTGAACTTTCTGTGCCGTTTAACTTTGGTGCATTTGTGGGTGAGGGTTCCACCATGGAGCTATGGTTACCACGACTCGCAAAGAAAGCCCAAGAACTCCCGGCAGGGCTGAGCCGGGACAAAATTTAAATCAAGATGACCTGATTGGGGGAAATCCAACTGATTTGAAACTTTTATCTCCGTAGCTTTTCAGAATCTCCAGTCATGATCGCACGGTATGTGCTCCCAGTTCTGGTGATCCTCGCTGGCCTATGGTGCAGTGATGCAGCACCAGCTCAACGAGCCAGTTCTTTCATTGCATCGCTAGGTGAACTATCAAAGGTGAGAAAACTTTCAAGTTTTAGAGGTAGGCCTAAAGAAATGTATCTCCTTTTCCTGACGGACCCAAGGGCACATGTTTTTGTACGCCTTTGTGAGTTCTCAAAAACTGACTCGTTGAATGGTGAATGTTATCTTGTAGCTAGCTCCATGGAGCTAACACGTCTCGGCGCAAGCCACGGTCGAGCCATATAGACCTGGAGGAGAGATTACCCGCAATTTAATGAGGGGCTGTTAGTATGGTCTGTGCCACCTTATGGTGCCACCACGGTGCCACGAATTATCTCCTCGGGATAATCTTTTCAGTCCAGCTTTCTTGCGTGCAAGGGATAGAATTAACCATAGAGCAAGGAACAGAGTGGAAAGCACTTTGTAATTACATTGTACCAGGAAAATTGGGCAGGGGCAGCACAGGGACATGACGTCATTGTATATTCTAAGAAATCCAGTAATTTCCTAGATATGCTATAGGAGATATGCTATAGGCATAGAGAAATCTCTATGCTATAGGTAGGCTGAGCGCTGAGGAATAAATATGATATGTCATTGTTAGTCAGGTGGTCGCAGCTTGTGGTTTTAACTGCTTTAAAACCTGGCTGTTCAAGTTGCAAGGAAATTTCAAAAAGCAGATGGCTCTAAATTTCCGAAGGCAGCAAGACACTTGACAATAGTGGATTCATTTGGCAAACCATTGAAGGAAGTCAATTTAAAGGTACTTTGTGGAAACTGACAATGTTTTTAAATCTCCTTCTGCTTCTCTTTTTTCCTCTTAAAAAAAACCCTTAGCCTTAAAAATAAAACCAAAATCATTTTTTTCAATTCTAATTCAAAATCAAAGTTATTGTGTCCACACGATAAATATAAAGATACATGTAATAACTGTGTTATATTCAGCAATTCACTTGCTAAAGTGTTACATTAAGGACAACAAGACAAAGAACTAGAGAGAAGTGTTTGTAAACAAGTACAAACACAGAGCTGTTTCGGGACTTTTTCACCAACAAAATAAGTATTGGCAATTGTGATGGAAAAAACCTGAAACTATGAGAGTAAAAATGAACATTTTAATATATGACTTGTCGCGTGATATTATTCTCACGATTGAGAGTTTGCTTTGTACTTTGTGGAGCTGCTCACAATAGCTTAAAAATTATAATACTTAAAAATAACATATACGACTTCTTCGACTGTTGACGTCATCACGAGTGTATGTGATACCAGTTACAAGAAATGTATTTCTTTAATGTCACGTGACTTGTCACCATATGAGGTCAGAATAAAATCAGATCAATTTGGGTATAAAACCCTTCTCTGTCCAGCCATACACAAAGTTTCAACCGCATCGGACCTGTACTGCTCGAGGTACAGTGGTTTGAAGAGATCCCCTTTAATGGCACGTGGGTTGTCTCCTGATGACGTCATCATGGCTAAATATGCTCAATATTTGCTTAAAGAACTACCTCTCCAGGATATAAGCAGGGTTTCAACCCAGCACTAACACCGACAGACGCATTCTGGTGAAAAAAACTTAACGGCTTTTACCACTTTTTAAACAATAAGCTTACTTCCGGTTTAAACCGGAAGGAAGGGTCATGTTATTTGACCTACACGAGACGAAATCAAGACCACATTTTATTCTAGCACTTGCTGCAAACTGAATGTTGCGGAGGCCACGGTTGATTTTATATGGATTTTTATATATTTCACGCTATATTTAAATATTCAAAATTTAATAATAAATCACGTGATGACGTCATCATGACATAAATATGTTAGAATTATCTTCGTTGTATAGCTAGTTCTTGCTGTAAGTTTGACGATGATCAAGGATTACTAAGGTACGAAAATAGCGCCTCGAAAACGTGTACAAAGTCAATTGGCTGAAATAAACATGAAAAAATCAATAATAAATCACGTGATGACGTCATCACGACGTCATACATTTGGACGTATGTTTTTATCAAGGTCTGTGTTGGCTGTAACTTTGAAGTTGATCAAAGCTCCCAAACTAACCCAAATGCTCGCTTTAAAATGTGTACAAAGTCAATAGGCTGAAATAAATATTGAAAAATCAAGAATAAATGACATGATTACGTCATCATGACGTCCTTTACTTACAGTAATTTTTGTATCACGGTCTGTGTTGGCTGTCACTTTGATAACCATCAAACATCGGAAAGGTTTTAAAATTGTACCTTGAAAACGTGTACAAAGTCTGGGGCAAAAAACTCCTTTGCGGAAACACTGCTCCCTTAAGTCCATGTCACGTGATTTGCACTTAAACTGAATACTTTTAAAGAAATATTACTTCATATTCCGACTCTTAGGCAGATTTCAAATAAAATAACAGAGCGTAAAGTACCCAATATCTCTTTCGTTCTGATAGTAATCTTCCGCCAAAGTTAAAGACTATTTGTTCACTTGTATTAAGTAGAAACACGTGCACAAAACGTATGGGTAAATATAAAATATTCAAAAATGAATATAAAAAGGCAATGACGTCATCGTGACGTCATACATTAGCTATAAATCTTGCATCAAGGTCTTTGTTAGCTATTATTTTGCCATCGATCAAACATTGCACAGTTACCAAAATTGTCCCTCAAAAACGTGTACAAAGTCAATGGACTATAAACTCGTTTGCAGAAACACTGCTCTTTTAAGTTCGTGTCACGTGATTTGCACTTAAACTGAACAATCTTTATGAAATATTACTTCATATTTGGACTCTTAGGCATATTACAAATGAAACAACACCGCGTAAAGTACCCGATTTCTCCTTCGTTCTTATAGTAATCTTGTGCCAAAGTTAAAGACTACTTGTTCACTTGTATTAAGTAGAAAAACGTGTACAAAACCTATGGGGAGAAATTGAATATTCAAAAATGAATATAAAATAAGTTAATGACGTCATCATGACGTTATCCCTTTGCAATAAATCTTGCATCAGGGTCGTTGTTGGCTATCACTTTGGGAACGATCAAACACTGGAAAGTTACAAAAATTCTGGCTCAAAAACGTGTACAAACTCAATGGGCACGTTTGCAGGAAAACTGCTCCTTTAATTTCATGTCACGGGATTTTTGTCTAAACTGGAAAAAAACTTATTAAATATTTTTTAATATTTGCACACTTGGTTATTTTTGCGATCAAACGGAAGGGAAAATTTAGTCTGATTTCTTTTTCGTTCTGGTAGTAATTCTCGGTCGAAGTTGGGGACTGCTCACGCATTATGCTGGACAATGTGTGTACAAACTGTGTGTTGTGCAACAACGCCATCCATGGTTCAATATAGGACAGTTTGTTGAAAATTGAAAGCCCAGGCAGATGTAACCGTAATTCTGCAATAGCGCCCTCATAGCCTGATATAGGACAGTCCGAAAACTGTGTGCAATCTGTACGTGTACAAAGTCTATGGGGAAAAATTAATTCTTAAAAAATCAATAATAAATAAGATACTTAAGTTATCACTGTGAATTTCTTCTAGGACCGTCCTTGGATAATGGTTCAAAAGTCTGCCACGTTTGAAGTCGATCAGATTTAGTAAACTGCCAAAGTCGACTGGTAGAAGGAATTGAGTTGAAGAAGAAGAAAAAAGAAACTAGAGAGAAGTGTTTGTAAACAAGTACAAACACAGAGCTGTTTCGGGACTGTTTTACCAACAAGATAAGTATTGTTGATCAAATCTCTCAAACAAACCCAAATACTGGCTTGAAAACGTGTACAAAGTCAAGGGCCTGAAATAAATATTGAAAAAACAAGAGCAAATCACATGACGACGTCATCATGACGTCATTTATTTACAATAATTTCTGTATCAAGGTCTTTGTTGGCTGTCGTTTGGAAAACGATCAAACATCCGAAAGGGTTCAAAATTGTGCCTTGAAAACGTGTACAAAGTTAATGGGCAAAAAACCCCATTTGGAGAAACACTGCTCTTTTAAGTTCGTATCACGTGATTTGCGCTTAAACTGAACAATTTTTATGAAAATTACTTCATATTTGGAGTCTTAGGCATATTACAAATAAAACAACAAAGCATAAAGTACCCGATTTCTCTTTTGTTCTGATAGTAATCTTGCGCCAAAGTTAAAGACTACTTGTTCACTTGTATTAAGTAGAAAAACGTGTACAAAACGTATGGGGAAAAATTGAATATTCAAAAATGAATATAAAATAAGGTAATTAAGTCATCATGACGTCATCCCTTTTCAATAAATCTTGCATCAGGGTCGTTGTTGGCTATCACTTTGGGAACGATCAAAGACTGCAAAGTTACCAAAATTGTCGCTCAAAAACGTGTACAAAGTCAATGGGCTTTAAACTTGTTTGCAGAAACACTGCTTCTTTAAGTTCGTTTCACGTGATTTGCGCTTAAACTGAACAATTTTTATGAAATATTACTTCACATTCGGATTCTTAGGCATATTTCAAATCAAATAACAGAGAGTGAAGTACCCGTTTTCTCCTTTGTTCTTATAGTAATCTTGTGCCAACGTTAAAGACTACTTGTTCACTTGTGTTAAGTAGAAAAACGTGTACAAAACCTATGGGGAAAAATTAAACATTCAAAAATAAGTATAAAATAAGGTGGTGAAGTCCTCATGACGTCATCCCTTTGCAATAAATTTTGCATCAGGGTCTTTGTTGGCTATCACTTTGGCAAGGATCAAACACTGCAAAGTTACAAAAGGTGTGGCTCGAAAACGTGTACAAAGTCAATGG